ATAAATCAGAAATCCTTCACAGGATAAGACTAAGAAGCATTTAGACATGTATAAATAAGCATGTCTTGTAAAGGCTGACTGTGTTATGCTATAGAGTGAACTATAAAATTGAGAATAAGATCTTCATCATAGAGCCAGAAATTGGTAATGCTTGCTTAACCAAATGCTGTCAAGAAATAAAAGAAGCTCCACGCAAGAATAAAAGCTTACAAATTAGACAATAATTTATAGGATAACTATAAATTAAAGAAACTATGTATATGAACAAGCAGGAATTAGATCCCGGGTCGATTCAAGCTTACCAGTTCTATATTTTTGCAAACTGTATCGCCAGTTTTATATTCCATCGAATCATAAACAACGGAAAGAAACATTTTTAAGCAAGAGAGAGTACACAATCCTTCTCAAAATGCTACACGATTATGATTAACAAGAACATTGGTCCATCTTAAAGTGTTAAACAATAAAAAAGAATTTCAATCATGATGGAGAATTTATAATCGAAAGCTTAGAACAAGCGACTACCATCTCGAACCAATCAACACCACAAAATGTCTATATTATATGACTAAAATGTCTATATTATAGTACAAAATTGAGAGATCAGACACTGAAATCTATCAGTTCTAATATAATCATATTTCATCCAACTTGCATCCAGATCTCTCACTTAACTATGCTTATAATGCAACATCGTAACCCTAACCAAACATCATACTCAAGTTCCATGACAAAAATGTTGACAAGGTCCCAACAATGAGATTACAGCTACCGGGGGGCGAGGGAGGGAGGGAGGGAGAGAGGCTCTACCTGTGCTGTGATCTGGTCTGGTAGTAGCTGATGGGGGTCGGACGAAGGCTGAAAGGAGCGCGGGAGGCGCGAAACCGGGGTGGAATCTGCGATCGGAGATCGGGAACAGAGATGATGGGGACTTAAGGCTTTAGATCTACCGTTGAAATCACATCTAACGGTGATTAAAATACTCTGCACCCTCGTTTTCGTAGATGGATTTCGTTTGGGCCGCCCAAACCAGCCCATCAGCTCACTCTCTCCCCATCAAATTGATCTCTAATCTTAAAGATGTGCTAGCGGTCACGAGCCCATCACCGCTGTCTCGCACCAATATTTTGATCGTTGATGAACCTATGAATCACATATCAGTTCAAGAAAACACATGTTTTCTTGCACAGGCAAGACAGACTAATGGAGGACAGATGAATGGTGATGGTCTCGGGAACCCACAAGTGAACTGGCTTGCTCTAAGGCAGCTTCTTGCTTCAGCTTCCATCACAGCAGAAAGCAATGAGATCTTGTGAAGAAAGGTGTGGAGGGGAATCGAGCATGGAGACAATGCATGAAGAAAGAAATACACCTGCAATCAGATTGCAGAAATCATCAGAAGACCACTGAAAGATATCCTTTCTATGTATTACAAGGCTAGTTCTTCTGCTACATCTCAAGATATCTTTATGGTGAACGCATGACTGATAGCCAAGGAAAGAAACACAAGTGAAACAACAAGAAGAAGATCCAGTGACTGTAAGAATCAATCGACACTACACAAGTGAAACAACAAGAAGAAGATCCAGTGACTGTAAGAATCAATCGACACTATGCAATGAGTATCGATCATAGATTCAACCATCAGGACCATCATCGAAGTTCAACTTGTAGCTCCTCGAGTCATAAGAGAGACCAGGTTTTCTTCTCTTGATGTTGTTGCGGCTCCTCATCACCTTGTTCGCCAAAGATCTCCACCTCATCCTCGCCATGGACTCCAAGAGGAGGAGGTCTTTTGCTCGCTGACCTCCGCCGCCCCCCCAGCACTTGACTTTGGTGCAATCTCCATGAGGCAGCGACCGATAACCGACCCTCTCCGGCTTTCCGAGCGGGCACAGAAGGCAGAAGCAGCTAAGGCAATGACCTCCTGTTCCGAACTCCTCCTCTTCATGGCCTTCGAAACCCACTTTTGCTACTCTATCTCCATGAAGCTTGGCCATCAGACTTAAGAAAGGTGTTCGCGGAGAGAGGTGGTGCAAGAAAATGAGGAGGAGAGAAGATGGTGGGAGGAGATCAATGAGACTAGGTGTAAGGTTTGCCGGCTGGATTTCTCGAGGACTACCACAAAGTGAAATGACGGCTGTCTTTGAACTGTTGAGGAACACAAAAGGGAGTTGACAACTACACAATTTTCCTTTTTTGTTTTGGAGTGGAGCTCCACAATCATTTGTTAGATACACCAAATAGAAACATGTTCTTAGGTGTGCTCACATGTATTAATTACTAAAGTCATGATCTACTAACATATCATAAGAAGCACAACACATGTGAATCATCTTAGGCAGAGTATGCAAGTTGTAGAAGCTCCAAGGTAACGTTTAAGATTTTCTTTTCTTTTTTGGTTAGTTTTTATTTTCAGGATAATATTATATCATTTGTCTTTTATGATGTTTTTATTTTTTTAAATTTTGAATAATATTTTATTAAGTTTGTTTAGTTTAGTATAAGTCAGATAAAAATTTATTTGATATTTATTTATTTATTAAGAGTCCTGATAAATTATGGATGAAACTCTATAAATAAGAATATATTTATTTTTTTTATTTATCAAGGAGGTCGATTCTCTCGAAATGATATCTTTTTTTTTTTCTCTTCTTTTACGATAAAATTGGATCTTATCGTATTTTTTTTTATTATTTCTATAAAAAAAAAATCATATTAAAACACTATAACAAAAATATATTTTTGTGTGGTTTTCACTTAGCTGGTACGAATCGTATGACGATACGAAGCCATCTGCATGATAGAAACATCTTACATTGTGCTGAAATGAAAGAATTTGATCAAGCATTCATCGTTGATTCCTTGAGAAATAATTTACATGGCGTTTAATGCTGCCTGCTACAGATTCAATCCACAGAAATCACTTCAAGGGATCAAAAAGAGTTCATACCAAAGTTGCTGAAATTTTTGGTCGGCTTCATTTTAGATTTTGGAATGAGAAGAAGAAAGGAAGAAAGAACGATGAAAGCAAAGGTTTGGTTTTGATTGATAGATAGATAGATAGATAGATAGAAGGGCTCAGACACATCACTTTGCTGCATAAGGTGGGGGCTTCGTCTTCCAGCTCTGTGTCTTGGGCCCGCCGGAGACCGACATGGAAGCGGCGAGATCTCCCCCAGATGGATGGATCCGGAACGAGACGCGGCCGTTGCAGGGGAGGCCCTCCGGGGATTGCCCGGCTCGGTGCAAGGCGCAGCCGCAGTTGCGGTGGTATGGCCGGCGTCGCACCTCCGTGTCGAAGGCGGCGATGCATCGGTCGAAGACGCACTGTAGCAGGGCATGCCCTGCTACAGTGGCCATCGTTGCGCCTACACCAGATGAAACCTTTCCGCTCTCGAGCCTCTGGATCTCTCCTCGATCCCCCACGCTGTTCGCATTTTTGTATTGAGAGACAGGCTGGGAATGAGTCAGAGGGCGACGGCTGTGCCGCTGAGCGAACGAGGCGGCGTGGGCCATGACGGACGCGCTGTAAACACGGTGCCCAGCACCGTCGGATACGCTTTGCTGCCGACATCGGTGCGAATCGCAACCAAAGCAAGGTACACATTTTTTTTATATAGTGCACATCAAGTGTTTGTGGAAATGTCTCTATCGGTTGGGTTATTCCAATGACTCTCAATAGGTCCAACCCAATGTGGTAATGCAGCCCAGTAATCGAGTTAGGTTAGCCCAATCACTAGTGGCCTTAAAGCCGAAAACATAGTCTATTACCTTACAATAACTCATATCTCTTCATTTCATTGTACACATTGTTACAAGTTCTTATTCAGAACAGCTCAAATATCTTTTCTTTACTAGCCAACATGTCATAAGAATATTTCTCCATAAGAAATTTGTTAGTTATTAGAATAAAAATAATAATTTGTACATGTTATAAGCCATAAACTGTTCTTTCTAGAATCTTTGAGAATTAAATGTTGATGATTCCACTCACTTGCAAAGACCTTTTGAAAAGACAAATTTTTTTCCTCTTTTTCTTTTATTAGTAAGTTGTAAAGGGGATTGATTCCAAACAAAGCTTATTGATGTAGCAGGATAAAGACCAACAGTAGATTCTCATTGAATAGGAGCATCAAATCAAATGATGTAAGGATGAAGAAAATTCCCTATAGTTCACCTGAACCTTTCAAGTACCTAAATGCATTAAGATATTGTGGAAAAGCAAGTTTTATTGCACTAATTTGTGGTTAGTAATTGCTGTTACTACTACAACCTGCAGGTCCCTTCTTATTCCTAACTGGCCCTCAGAAACTTAAGCATTTCCTGCATTTGAGCCTACTCTCTTGCCATGATGCCAGCTTACTTCCTGCAGAGGAGTTTAATCTAGTTGTAATGGCTCTTTATGTCTTTGAAATCAATGCAATATATGCCTATAATCTTAAATAACTGCTTCTGGATGAAGTTAAACAAAACTATGCTGTACTCCTCTCTCTCTCTTTATTTCTTGTGGCCTGTAAATTCAACTTACCTTAATGCATGGAAGATTGAAATTAAATTAAGTTTTTTTTTTTTACATCCATGTCCATGGTTATTGCCACATTTTTGTGCTGTCTAAAGCACTGTTTTTGAGATAATGGTGACTTTTTATATAGAGTTGACAGCAAAAATACCTTTGTAATTATCACTGCAGAATAAAGTTCACTACAAGGCTTTAGTGGTGCATATATATATATATATATCAAAAAATTGATTATATGTTAGAGAAGGGTTTATTTAAAGTGAAAATTGTGATATTTGAGATTTCTTTCATTGGATAATACTACATGCATGCATTATCCAAGATAATTAAATGTCATCTTAATCAGTAAGGATGATCAAAGACCATACATATTTGCCACTTTGTTATCGGATGTATACTGTGTTTCCTTCTCTCTTCTTCCATGTTATGGCCTAAACAGAAAGGAGTTTACGATTCGGCAAATCGGTGAAGCTCCTCATTCTGAACAAGCAATCTATATTAACCATTGCTTTCAACAAGAGAGAGAACCAGAACAGGGGGATGAAGTGAAAGGAAGAAGAAGCAACCGCTGAGCTCCTAACACCACCTCTCTACAGCCTTAAGGTCAAGTCAAGCATCTGCACCTCCTTCCTGCTCACTACACCACCGTCTCCGGCGTCAACCCATCGGATGTCCCCGGTCATTACCCCAGGCTCGTCGAACCGCTCCACGAGAACCGACGTCCTTGTGCCGACGCCATGTTGCTGGTCGAAGATCATCGTCGGCCGGTGCTGTTCGTGTAACACGATTCCAGAGGAAGTGCCGTAGTAAGGCTTGTGTATCATCGAGTGCACCTGAACGCCCAGATGCCGCCCGCCGTACAACGCGTGCAGTGGCAGCGCCGCCATGCTCGGCGGAAGCCTGTGGCTGAATTGGTCGCCGAGCCGGGCACCCCCGCGGCCGCCGTTCTTCGCCAGGGACCGCTCGCGCTTGTGCGCGTTCTGATGCCCGCCCAACGCCTGCGAACTGTAGAACTTCCGACGGCAGTAGTTGCACGAGAACACGCGGGGCTCCGACTCCGACGACTCCGGATTCGGTGGCTCCACGGAACCCAAGGACTCGATGAGATTGAGCACAAGCACTGGCGTCCCCGGCGACGTGGTCTTCTCTGTGTCCGAGTTGGACAAGCTAAGGTCCAACAGCTTCCCATTGAACTCGGGTTGCTCTCCGATCCCTTCCTGCCGCTGCTCCTCTTCCTCCAACGCCATGACAGGTTCGTCCTTGGCGACACGGGTATCAGAGTGGGCGGAAGAAGTCCGAGAGAGAGTGGCATCAACGGCGAACCCAAGTGCTGCCATGGAAGTCTAGTCTAGGTTTGATGGATGGCTCGTTGGCGGTGACTTAAAAGGAGGGCTTCTCTTTGGAAGTCTACATGGAAAGAAAGAAAGAGTAGCGAATGATGAGGATTCTGCGCCATCTCACATCTCATTTCCAAGGAAACAAGCACAGGTCTACAGTTACCTGTAGATAAAATTGAAGACTGCACAGAGAAAGAGGAGCCAACAAGGAAAATAGCATTTAAGTTCCCCATTCATGCCTTCTCTCTCACTCTCTTCCTTAACACTCACCTTATGTGCATGCTTTTTTGTCCCATTAATTCCAAGGAAACATCAAAAACCGATCTCAGATGAGTAGAGATGGCTTCTCTGATACAAATCATATCATGCAAGATTGATACTGAATCTTTTGCTGGTCAATCATAAAAGATTGACATGAATCTGTTTCTTTTGTGCTGATGGAGAATGACAACGTCTTGATTTTATGTTACGACGACTTGTATTTGGGTCTTTGGCCGGCCAGCGATTATGCCGCGTGCTGGGTGATGTGGCATGACCGTCTTTCCCTTTCTGGTTGGGATTGTTTTCGTGCACGTTTTTTCCGTGGAATGGGAATGCCGAATGGAGAGTTAGTTGTATGTAGCAAGTGAGTTTAATGGAAAGATAGAATACCGTATCTCTGTGAATTGGCAGTTTCATGGTCAGACCAGGTAATGACTACAGGCAACTCTCGTGTCAAGGTCAATATATGGGGTGGGTCTTACCCATACTTTTCCTTACAAGATGATGCATAATTGTGATTGTTTCTGCTTTCGGAGATTACAGCAATCCGGCAAATGCTTTAGAAAGTCTATTTCTTGTCTACGATTTTTATGTGATTATGTTCATGAATAAGAATTAAGTACGTAACATTTTGTGGCATTGCTTCTAGCAAGCAGTCGAATGTGAATGGCTTCGGTTTCAGAACCGATGATTTTGATTTTTGAAAACTTAGAATTGATATTGAACCGATAACTTTTTATTATTTTTAATTAAAAATAATTTAAAATTAAAATTTCATTTCTAAAATTTGAAAAGATGGATGTATAGTTATAATGAGTGTAATTACATTAAAAAATGATATAAATTAAAATTGATTAATGCTTGAATCTCAATTGATTAAAAGAGGATTTATGCATAGATATTGTTGACACTAGAGTTGTTAATATTTATCTCACAATCATTACCAAAATAAAAAATATTGTTATATACCATGATAAAATTATGTACATCTTCTTTATTATTTTCTTCATGAAATTGTTTCTTCTTCTTGATTCTGAACCAGACAATAATCCTTCCCTGATTAAAAAAGCTTGTATTTGACAACACGACAAACATACTGTTTAGCAGCTGAAAGAATGGGATAATTTGGAAAACCATGCATCTGCCGACATATCCAACTCAAACAATCCACAGTACAAATCCTTGTCCCAGTTTACGTGCTTGCATCAGTTCTCAAGCAAATGACTACTGAACATGATGATGAATGCTAATCTCTGGCTAGCACAATTTCAGGGGCAGCTCATTCAGTTTAATGTCGTTGAGAATTGCAAAACCAATCACCAGTAGCAACAAGAACGAGTAGTCTAAAGCAGGAGACCATGTATCAGATTCAAACCAATCACCACAGCAGTGCATATTTCATTTCAGGCATGCAGGTGGCCGCAGGCTTTGAATTGCCCTGACTTAGTCTTATTGCAACTAGATACCGCCCAACTCCCCTCCGAAGTAGTATGGTGGCCAAGCAGCTGACTTGGCAAAGATTGTGACGTCTGCTGGTTCAGGCCATATCCAATCTGTAGCTTCTGAAAAGATATAAAAGATGACTGACTACACATCAAAGAACTTTTGTTCCTGGCATCTCTTCTGCACACAATAGTTTGTAAGTTTGAGAATTCAGACACTCTGATATGCAGATCCTCTCAAACACTGAGCACAGTGTGGTAAAGAAGACAACTTTCTGGGTACTAAAGTTGAATAGATTCACACAAAGAGCAACTCTAGTACCAAAGACATCTACCACAATGGAAAATGAGCTCAGTTATAAAGAAAAAACAAAAAATATTAACAAAAAAAGAAAGCAGAATCAATTTCTCCTTAATGGCGTGTATGATGCCTATAGGAAGATGTTAAGTTTCAAGAAGGCTTTGCTAACAAAAAAAGTGAAAATTTGTCATATTCCCATTTCCATTTCTAGATGGCAGCAGGTCAGAGTTTTTCATGTACTCTGTGCATACCTAAGGGCTAAGCCCCTTAAGCTACATCAAGATACCTGTAAATTGAGTTTGGAATGAGTACAAGACAGAAAATAGATAGCTAAGGAGGATTTGGGTATCTCAGTAGTTAGTCATGGGTATATCTCAGAAAATAGATAATAAAAGATAGCTAAGTTTGGAAACAGATACAACGAAATTCATTCGTGTACCCTACCCATCATCATTTGTAATTAAGAATTGAAAAATCTGTCCGAACATGACAATGGAGTACATAATCTTAGATTTGCCCATCTTGAAACTATTTTACTACTTCAAAAAGTTCACCAAATATGTTGACCAGAGGAGGCTCAGATTTGCTCATCTTTTCAAACATTGAGTATGACAAGGAAGGGCGAATATATATATGTATGTATATATGTATATATATATGTCCAGTTCTTTGCATGCTCCCATACCACAGTTTGTCAGGGTCAATTAGAGCAAGCAGGACTTTTCCTTCTAACTGAAATAAGACATGGCTGCAACTGGTTGCTCACAGAGTAAGAGCCCATCCAAGTCTTGCCTCGCCAGTCTTATTACAGCACCCACTTGTTGGACCACCATAGTTACCACAATAGGGTAAAACAAACAGCAGCAACAACAACAACAACAGCAGCAAAGACATAATAACAAAGTTTTGCCCTTTCCAAGTAAATCATCATCACCTCCTTGTATAAAAAAAGATAGAAAACATGAAAAATTCCACCACCACAGCCAACTCCTAGGGGATGGGGGGGTGGGGGAGGGGAGGGAGAGAGAGAGAGAGAGAGGAATCCAAAGACAGGAGGATAACCATGGGTTAACCAAGATCCAATGAGCTGCCTTTCAAACAATATATATCAAACCCAACTGGCCATCAGCCTGGCCAAGGCTGGATTTCAGTCAGTTGGCTGATGGAACAATTGCTCAAACTTTATAAAATATTTAAAAAAACAGAAGGCAGGAGAAAAAACTTGTTATTTGAAAAAGGACTAAAAACATGTACTAGGAAAACTGGCAATAACAAGTAAATTAGAGCCTCCACATAATCGTTTGTTGGCAAAATTTTGAGCATGGAACATAACATGCAGCCATTTATAGGTGATATTACCCATATACAAGTGTTTTCATCTACACAACATTTGATATCATGCGTCTTCAGAAGATATGCACAAAGGGTTCCAGAATAGTCATAAAATAATGAGAATAATATACTTCCAAATTATTTGGCAGAATATGATCTAGTAGATATGAATATAAAACAAATCACTGAATTTAGCAGAATAGGGTTCATATCCATAAAATCTGACACTGGATGAGAGAGTTATTTAGGAGGGAACTTTGGAACACTGAACATTATCCAAAGAAGAACTTTTTGAACTTACACGGCCAAAAATTTCAAAGCCCACGCGATCCCACATCGGCATGTAAGAGACTTCTGAATAACAGAACCAAGAGATGGCTGCAACTGCAAAAGGGTGAAGACGGGATTTGATTCAGGACTTGCTGTTAGCAATCTAAGGCTTTTTACAGCTGCAAGATGAGACTGAAGCTGTTTGATCTTGCAGGAAACTCACAAGGCAAAGAGGTACAAAAAGGTCTCGAAGAACCGAAAAAATGGGTACGAAACAGGACATCAAAACGTGAAGATTGCATAAAGCCATCGTAGAGCGTGAAGATGGAAACCCCAGATCTTGAAGATTTATTTTGGGCAATTGCCCAAAGAAAATGTTAGTTTGCATTAAGGAATTTGCACAGCAGTCGAATCTGTTCATCAAAGTCGTATTTTTATTAGATAAACAGTCTCATACGGCAGCCCTTTTGGGAAGGAGCGGATACTCATCACCTCCAGCAAGAGCCCGACACGTCTCATCAATGTCAGACTCTGCTACGGCCACCATCTCTCGGCTTGAATTGAAGTCTCGATTATTTTATTCGAAGCTTATAATATCAGAATAAATTTGGGGGTTGCAACACAACAAAAAAAATAGAACGACCAAATCCACGAAATACTATAGATTGAAACCCTAGTCATGCAAGCCTTGGGGTTCGAAGTTCCTTGCCTGCCTCAGGTCATTCCAAATCCATGAAACACTATAAATTGAAACCCTATAAATGTAGGCATCTATTAGCCACACCAATCAATCACAAAATTAAAATGCAGAGTTCGAAACCAGAAATTCTAAACGAATTGGAAATCAGACACACACCGCACCATAAACAAAAAGGAAATCTTGAAAAAAGAAGAACCCTAAATATAGATCAACAACCTAAAATCGAAGCAGGAATGCTGAATCGATTACCCGTAGAAAGAATCAAGCTTCAGACTGAATGTGATCCAAAAGAGAGAAAATGGAAGAAAGATTGTAGAGAAAAAGAATATATTGGAATGATCTTGAAGGACGGAAACAGGAGGAAGAAAGGGAGGCTCGGATTCGCCTTTGATCCATCACCGACAGGTTGGAGAACAAACCATCCGTTATCTGTTGGAGGAGTGGCTGCAGCGGTTGCTTGCCCTGCGGAGCAGCGGCAAAGCCATCCGAGCTGCCCCGCCACCGCCTCCCCCAAGGAAGGTTTCATCGTCATCGCCTCTTGAACATATATATATTACACAAACACACACACACACACACACACACACACACACACACACACACACACACAAAGAGCGAGAGAGGGGACACCACTAATTGGTATAACGTGGATGCGGCCTAGATCTCCTGCAAAAGGAGGAAGAGGAGGGTCGGCGGTCAAGTCCCGAGATAAGCCAGGACGTAGAGCGCTCACTTCCGACGGCAGAACTCGTCGGCGTAGGAGGTGGTAGAGGAGAAGGGGAGGAAGCATGCCCGCCCTCGGTAACGGCGCACTACTCACCTTCTCCTCCCTCTCCCTCTCCCCTCTCCCTCTCTGTTGCGCAGCTCACGGAGAATAAAAAGGAGGCACGGTGCCTCTGCTGAGCGCTTCAAGATTCGTGCCCAGTTGCCCTAATACATATTGGAGTGGCATCTGATCAACAAAGCGTGGACGATCTATGATCTGTCGATGTAATAAACGCGCTTCAAGATGCGTGCCCGGGGTACCCGAACGACATAGTGAGGTGGCATCTCATTTACAACACGTGGACGACCTATGATTTGTCGAGATATGTATCTACGCTTTAAGAGTCGTGCAACGGTCACGTATGTCTCGAAGTGGCATCTGATTGACAACAACACGTGGACGATCTGTGATGCCAAACATCTGACCTGTACACACAGTTGGATCGATCGAGAGCTATCGATTGATTCGATCACTTCGACAAGGAATCAATGCAATTGATACAATCAACACACATGTAAGGAATTCAAGGTTGGAGATGTAAAATGGATTGTACACAATCTACGAGGGTTCGATCGATGGCATGGCACAAATGCTTACTCAATCAACCATATCTGCTTATTTTAGGGGGGTGAAGTTTGATTCTTCTTCCTCGAAGACACAGTTTTCATCCTTTTGCTGCAGATATCACCTCAGCTGCATTAATTCCAAGGTTTGCAAGCATGGGCTTCTCATTTCCATGGCATCAGCACTTTTCTCTGTCATATTTCAGACTCGAAGATAAGCTTACTTCATCTTCTTTCCAGCAGCGATCTCCCTTGTTTGCCTTTCACCTCCTTCTTGTCATCATCAGCACACATCATCTATCTACAGATACAGGTATTTCGATGTCAAGATTCATTTCAATTTCCTAATTACATTTAACAGTTTTGTGTGCAGAGATTATGTTAGAGAATGACTCTTACCAGCATACAGAATGCTCATATCAAACCTCTTTTTTCCCCTTTTAATGTGTAACACAGGGAAAAGATATGATTACTGTGGGAGATTAAGAACATGAAAGATTGTTCTTCCAGAAAGTATTAGCTTCTGATATGACCATATAAACACCACCAATTCCTAGTCCTTGCAATCTAGTGGTGGATGCAAAATGTGGAGTCACCCATCTTTCAAAAGATATGCCATCTGATAGGGGAGTCACTGCAGGGTCAACGGGGATGCGGACAGTGACGCCAGCCATCCCATGGTTGGTCAATCGAAGTGACCTCCCTCAGGCAGTAATGGCGACGCGACGCGCCACGACACCGCCCGTGCATGGCCCACACTCTGCCCGAGCGAGCGGGCATTAACGCTGACCCAACGTCGCCAACGTCACCCACGCTCAGCCAGCGGCTCCGTCGCCCATACCCTGCACGTTCGCCCAAATGCAGGAGGCGACGACCGAGGCCGCCCATACCCTGCGACAGGATGGTCCGCCACGCGACCCTAATGGTGATGTCAAATCCAGTCAGAGGCACGACCCTGCTCTGACAGGCAGGAACATCAGGTAGTATCAGACCCAAACTATAAAGAGTCCAGAGCCCTAAAGGTTAGAGGGGGGGCCAACAACACCAGCTCTTAATACAGAAATCCCCTTCACATCCACTAATTAGACCATCGGAGGGGTCGGGCCGAAGATACGGTCCGACCTTTGTGCAGGTACTCGGCGACCACTCCACCCCGACACTGCAGTTAGCTATCTCTCCAGACAACGCCCCGATTGGACTCTCGCGAGCGCTTCTCCAAAAGACGTCAAGAAGCTCTACCTGTGATCCTCGACATCCGGACCCCTGAACCGAGCCGTACCGCCCCGAGGTTATGGCTTAAACAGGTGCTGACCGCATCACCATCCACTTTTGATTGGGATAACAAGAGAGCCCATCATCCACATGTTCTTCATCTCCTACCACAAGTGCATCTCTTTCTCTGTTTTCTCTGTGGTTGGGCATGGCATATATAACTTGCAGTGAACCACCATTAGCAACAGATGACATTGTCAAGCATCCAACCCAATCATGAGAATTAAATATCCATGCATCAAGTCTCTTTTGTTCTTAAATATCAATGTGGCAAGAGACTTGAAAGCATCGCTATGAATTAGTATGGTAATTTACTTGGTAATCAGAGAAGGTAGAACAAAGCCAATCTGGAATATGCTAAGCTTTATGATGTAAGAAGAATCAGAAAAGTACAAATCCAACATTGACTGTCCTTCAAAAGCAGTATAATTCTTAGGATATTCTTGCATACTTTTCCAAGAGAATCTTCTTTAAAACCCATGTGAATTGTAGCCTTGATTTGATCTGCAAAACTACTGATGCATTCATAACCCCCATTGCGTTCATAACACTAGTAGCTGAACTAATAATACACTCTGTTGAGCCATTGCTTGATCATTACCTCGCTGTACTCCTCCTCTTCATGGCCAGCAAAGAAACCAAAGGCATCTCCATCAGCAGCAGTCTCCTATGAAGAAAGAAACTCTCTAAAAGCCTACCCACAAACAAGCTTATAAAGTTTTCCATAAATTGATATATTGAGACTCGTGAGAGGTCCAAAATTCTTAAGGACGGACAGTTTGTGAATGGAATAAAATGTATCGACTAATTAGTTATCTTTCGTATTCTAATCTCAATATTTTAAAAGATTATATTGACATTCCTATAATTACGAAAGTGAAACATCTAGATCCATTTACCATAATATCATCGGTTTTACTAACGAAAATATAAAAATAAAATATAAAATAATAATTTTAATATTCTAATTGATGGTAACGGATGACGTTGATGATGATAGACGACGTTGTCGTTGAGAGCTACGAATGACTATTATATACAAGGAGAGCGACAACGAGACATGAGAGTCGTTTGACAACTACATCAACGTCACGTAGATACAGAGTAGCCCTTACCTCTTACTGTCACTCTCCTCGTTCACAGTAGCAATTGCGCAAACATCAATGTAGATATAGAGTAACCCTCACATTTTATTATCGCTTTCCTCATCCACAGTAGCAATTGCGCAAACATCAACATAGATGCAGAGTAGTCCTAACGGTATTGTTGTCCATCACCACCGACATTATCTATCATCATCAACTAGAACATTAAAATTATCTTTTCATCTTTTGTTTTCATTATTTTTCTTAATAAAATCGATTATATTAGAATAAATAAACTAAATTTTTTTAATAATAAAATAATATAATTTTTTTTAAAAAAATATAAAGAATCTAAATACTAAATATTATTAACGATAAGAATAATAAAGAATTTGGACTCCCTCGAAGTTTACACCTTCACCATCTAATTAATGTGAAATAAATAATAAATACCAATAATAATTGTATATGGCAGATTTAGTTATATTATATTAAATCTAGTCTTTTTTTTTAATCAGCAAGTGAAAAAGTTCAATCTTTTAATTAAAAATAAAAAAAATATATTTAATAATTAGCCCCTCGCTGCTTTATAATAAGCCTCCTCGCCCGTCGGTCGCCTCCCCCGCTGCTGCTGCTGCTCCAGCACTCGTTTGTCGGCCTCTTGCTCGCCTCCTGTCTGCTTTCGCGCGGCGCTGAGAACGGTGGTGGTGGAAGAAGGGAAGGGGACAGAATTCGACGGTCATGGCGGGAACGGGTGTGTTCGCGGAGATCATCGACGGGGAAGTCTACAAGTACTATGCCGACGGGGAGTGGAAGAAGTCCGCCTCCGGGAAGTCTGTTTCCATCATCAATCCCACCACCAGGACGCCTCAGTACAAGGTCCAAGGTGATGGAATTCTTTGTCCCTAGTTCTCGAAGCTGCTTGTTTGGAGCAGAAATTTTAGTTCTTTCAGCTTTTTCTTCTTCTTCGGTGGGTGATCTGGTTGTGCTCGATTAGAGGGGGGGGGGGAAAAAGGTGATATTTATGTGTTATAGCAACCAACAACGTTCGGAATCCCTGGAAACTCTTCCAATTTTCTGATGTAATTTCAGCCTTTTGGTATTCGGAGACTGGAAATTCACCAAGAAATGGAATCTTTACTGGAGTTTTCCCCTAAAAATTTGATCTTTTTTGGGGGATCAGGGCTGTAATTTGTCAGTACAGATTCATACGCTTTAGGATGCGCATGTCAAGGCGGCGGCGAGAACATCGCCTGCAATGAACGCGGAGTGATCCCAGTCATCGAGGGCATCCTCGAGATCAAGGGGATATTGAAGACCATGACTGCTCACAGCTTCATTTTCCGAGTTTGTTTCAGCTACTCATGCTCTCAGTTCCTCATCAGCCCTGCCAGCCCTTCGTTGCTACCCTCACTACCACCGCCACTCGAATCTTTCTTCTATGACCTTCGAAACAAAGAGCTGTTGTTTCAAGCTTTAGTTGAACTCTTTTTCCCTCTTGATGAAATATAGAGATAATTGGCCCATCTAATTGTGCTTTAATTCAAGCTTTGATGATGAGGTTTTTAACGTGTGTTCTTGTTCTTTTTCTTTTACTGTTGATTGGCCGGGTGTTTGAACCAGCATGTACGCAAGAGGAGGTGAACAAAGTGATGGATGCTGCAAAGGCAGCACAAAAGTTGTGGGCGCGGACGCCGCTGTGGAAACGGGCGGAGTTTCTCCACAAGGCGGCTGCGATCCTCAAAGAGCACAAGAACCCCATAGCCGAGTGCCTTGTCAAAGAGATCGCCAAGCCTGCAAAGGATGCTGTCACTGAGGTAGTAGACTCACTTGATGCTTCTCATGGCTACTTAACCACCCTTTTTTATTTATTGCCGTGTATCTATCGATCTTGGTTTAATTTTTGTTGAGTGGCTAATATGAAGGTGGTAAGGTCGGGGGATCTGATATCATACACCGCAGAGGATGGAGTTAGGATTCTCGGAGAGGGCAAGCTCCTGGTCTCGGACAGTTTTCCTGGTAATGAGCGCAGCAAGTACTGCCTCAGTTCCAAGGTGATCGTCTTTATTTTCTTGTTCTTGTTGGTGTTCGTAACTATTCAGCAATGAGAAGGAACAAGACATAATGCAAGGACATCTTTAACAAAACTTGTCCTGATATAGGTTGTAAGCAGAAGGGAACAAGTTGACCAATTTGAGTTTTTCACCTTCATGAAGTTGAATATGTTTGAAACGATTTTAGTAACCAAAGTTGGCTATAGATTTGAATCAATCTCCTAGTCATTAGTGTATCATCCATAAAGAAATGCAGTAAAAGTTGCTAGGAAAATAAAAAAGTTCCTTGGACTTCAAAAATAAATGTAGATGAGGAGAACATAATTAAAATATTTTTTTTATGATTTTCTTTGTTTAGGATGATTACATTTGAAAAATGAATCACAGTGGGTGTAAAAAATGGAAGAGTTATAAGGCTAATAGGAAATACTTAGGAAAGCTTTTTGTTGTTTTTGTATGTGGTTAATTATTGGCTATATCGATCTTTCTATTCAGTTTGTTAAATATCTTATCCACAAACTCTTTTACTTCCTTGAATAAATCAGGATATTCTTCATCCTACTTTGGGTATGGTAACTTAAAAACTTGGGCTAATTATAGATTACTTTTTGTAGTTAGATCTCTTTGGCACCCCAGTTCCTAGACTTAAATAATTTATATTGAAATTCTTATAGTTATGAAAGTGAAACATCTAGCTCAATTTATCCTAATGTCGTCGGTGTTACCGACGAAAACAAGAAAATGATGAGCAAAAAAGTAATTTCAACATTCCAGTTACGTTTTTGGTGGTAGTAGACAGCGACGTCGTTGGGGGACGCTGGTGGCTGTTATGGATGAGGGAGAGTGATAATGAGAGATGAGGCGAAGGGAGAGGAGGAAGAGGACGATGCAGATGTTGACGCTCTGCATCTATCGACATTGCTCGGCAACTGCAACGATGCCGACACAGATACAGAGCGACGACGTCTGTATTTGCATTTGCGTTGGCACCGATGTAGATGCCGAGTAGTCCTTTCATCACTTTGCATCTACGTTAGGCCTACACAGTTGTAGAGCGTCGATATCTATGTCGTCCTCTTCCTCTTTTTGTCTCACCTCTCGTCGTCACTTTTCCTCCTCATCCACAAAAGCCACTTGTAGCCTACAACGGCGCCATCGTCTGCCACCACCAAAAACATAATTGAGACGTTAGGAATTATTCTTTTGCCCATTGATTTTGTGTTTCTATCGGTAAAACCGACGACGTTACGATAAATGGAGTTAGATGTTTCACTTTCATAACTATATGGATTCCAATGTAAATGTTTTAAGTCTAGGGACTAAGATGCTAAATAGGTCTAACTACAGGGGTAATATGTAATTAGCCCTGAAAACTCTGTAGTTGCTTTGTTACTCTAGATCGCCAATTGTTTCTTCAATCTAAGTTGACTTACCATTTTCTTCTACTTCTCAAACTAGAGAGATATTTCACTTTGTACATATAACATATAAAAAAGATTTTTTGAGAAATACTAGAAAGAGCATTTTCATTAGTTGAATGGGCAAGAAACTATAGGGGTCACCTTACCCTATGCAACGTTTGATACATGGATGTGCAATTATAGCATCCTTGATTATATAGATTCAATCTTGCATATAACTTAGATGTGGTGCAATAGAAAGTTGTCATAAAAAGGACGTATCCGATGCATGAGACTCCCGCTGATGTAAGGTTTGGGAAGGATCAATATATGCACCTTTACACTTAAATATAGTGAGACTGTTTTTATGACTCAAATCATGTTTTCCCAAGTACCAAAGAGCAATCTTACTGGCGTACCAAGGCACACCCCCCTAATAGAAAGCTATCATTTATTGCAAAATCACAGAAGTGCTGTCTTCACCTTAAGGTGAGTTGCAACGAACAGCCATTTTCTGAAGTTCTGCACCTGCAATGGATCAAACGCTAGTAAACACATTTCAAATAGGGAACAAAATTTCAAAATCAACGTGAAAAACACAAAAAAATATCTACTACAATAGGAAAATCACAGTAAATATGGATAAAAAACGATATGGAGATCTTCAACCCGAATCTCTCCGAACTGAGCTACAACTGCAATTTTATATAATCTACATTAGGAAATATACTGCAATCTGATTTTGAGTTTGTTTTGTTCTAGATCCCTCTTGGTGTTGTGTTAGCTATCCCTCCTTTCAACTATCCTGTAAACTTAGCAGTCTCCAAAATTGCCCCTGCATTAATTGCCGGCAATGCCCTCGTGCTCAAGCCTCCTACTCAGGTATTTAAATTAAATCTAAATGCTCCACTTATACAATCAGCAAGATATTCTCAAAATTCATGTCTTTGATCTTGGAAATTGTATGAAACAACTTTTATCCGTCCTTTCGTGGCCAGGGTGCAGTGGCTGCTCTTCACATGATACACTGTTTTCACCTTGCTGGTTTTCCGAAAGGCCTGATCAGCTGTGTTACTGGCAAAGGATCTGAAATAGGCGATTTTCTAACGATGCACCCTGGAGTAAATTGTATAAGGTAATAGCATACCTGGAGGTACTATCTTACAAGGTTGTATCTTTTTATGCCTTGTTTGTCTCCTAAAGGCCATGATTATAAAAATTATTTGCTTCTTATAACAGCTTTACTGGAGGTGATACTGGGATTGCCATTTCAAAGAAAGCTGGAATGATCCCTTTGCAGATGGAACTTGGTGGCAAAGACGCGTGCATCGTGCTTGAAGATGCTGATCTTGACTTGGTTACCGCAAATATAGTGAAAGGAGGTTACTCTTACAGGTCTTGTAACAGAGTCCCATATAAATATTTACTGAGATCGACTTTTATATGATTTCTTTAACTTCTCATCTCTATTATCTGCGGGGGATTTAGATAGAGATTTAGAAGAGATGAGTACACCGTCACATTGCGGTTTTAGTTTGGTGTGGAATTTATTTCAGCCGAATGTGAATTGTTTTTACTTTTGTCCATCACAGTGGTCAAAGATGTACAGCAGTCAAAGTAGTTCTAATCATGGAATCAGTAGCTGATGCTGTTGTAGAGAAGGTGAAAGCTAAAATGGCAAATCTAACTATTGGTCCACCAGAGGAGAACTGTGACATCACTCCAGTTGTGTCGGAGTCTTCTGCAAATTTTATACAAGGTTTGGTTATGGATGCCAAGCAGAAAGGAGCCACATTTTGCCAGGAGTACCGGAGGGAAGGAAATCTCATTTGGCCATTGCTACTCGATCATGTCAGACCTGATATGAGGATCGCTTGGGAGGAACCGTTTGGACCTGTGCTGCCTGTGATTAGAATCAGCTCTGTCGAGGAAGGTATTCATCATTGCAATGCCAGCAACTTTGGCCTCCAGGTAATGCTGTTTCGAGATCCTATTGACACCAAATTAGTTCTAAGCCTACTTCATTCAGAGTGAAATGTACAAGAATCATAGATTTTTTTTTTTTTTTGTGGATACCAAAAACAATGGCCATAGTCTAGTAGATTGCTATATCAAATTAATTAGATATCATATACTTAGTCGATGTATTTGTCGTAGGGATGTGTGTTCACAAAGGACATCAACAAAGCGATAATGATCAGTGATGCTATGGAGACAGGAACAGTTCAGATAAATTCGGCACCAGCTCGAGGACCTGACCATTTCCCTTTCCAGGTAATAAGCAACTCTTTTGATGTTGGAGTTAAACATAAAGTAGTCTGATTGTGGTATCTTTGATTTCTGCAGGGTTTGAAAGAAAGCGGCATTGGATCGCAAGGCATAACTAACAGCATCAATATGATGACAAAGATAAAGAGCACGGTTATTAACTTGCCATCTCCATCTTACACCATCGGTTGAAAGATCTCATAGACTAGTTTAGATGTTCGATAAGCAGTGAGAAAGACTAATAAATCGGTTTGGGTTGAAAGATCTTGTGGAGTAGTCCACATGTTAAATAAGCTTGAGAAAGTTTGTGTGTGCTGTGAAAGCTCGATTGTGCTCGATTCTTAGTTTTAATCTGAGATGAAAAAGATTGTAGTAGGACAGCATCAATATCAGATTCCAATACGGTTGGTTGGATGGTGGTTTTTATTCTTGCATTTTCCTATTTCTACTCTACTCTAGTCTTCTATTATGAACCTATTTGGTCATATTTTGACAATCCATTCATTTTTCAAAATGTTAGTTTAACTAAGATTTTGATAGATGATCATAAGATAACTAAGATTTTCATCATCTATCTATCCTTCATAAAAAAAACAAAAAAACACTTAATCTAACAACCTAAGCTCTTTCTTCAAAAACAAAAATATATCGGTAAAAGAAAGATTGATGTCTTCAAAAACACTGGATACCGAAAATCCGACGTGTAATATAAATGAAAACCCAATACAAAAAATTAGAACAATGATTGATGAAAAGTCTGTTACTGAGCTCGACTTACATATGTGCATGCTTTGTTTTAGAATAAACCAAACAGTGGGGAAAAGCAATCGGATCAGATAAATTACTTCTTTTACAAGCCAAAGCTGTAAGGAGAAGGGAAAAGAAGAGAAGAGAGCTGACCATAATCTCCTCGGTTCGTTTGCCATCATATCCTGAACGGAATAATACTCAGCAACCTCTGTTTCTTCACTTTGGATCTTTCTTGTTGTTTTACATCGGTCATCTCCTGGAACTCGTTTTGGCCACCATTTGATTCTTTAGACTTCTTTGCCTTCTTCCTCCTGCCTTGACAGTACTCCTCATTCCTGAGATAGTTTATGGATTAAATGACACCAAAATCCATGGGAAGAAAAATAAATATTGGCACTTAGAGCAATTGGTAATGTTGGTGTTATAAACAATAATTTGTCATTGGCAGTAGTAAGAAGGAGAATCTAACCTCTTGTGCAAGCCAAAGATTTCCAGTTCAGATAATCTATGTACACGTAGGTACTATAAACACTACAATATAGAGAGAAGTATTTTTCAAGATGAATTTGGCAACAGATAATTGGCATAATAACTATAGCAGAAGATTGCCATCTCAAGGCTGGTGCTTGGTCAAGGATGGGCAGAATCTCATGGTAAGCCATGCAATCCTTGTCGCATTAAGCTTTGTGTAAGAAAATTGTCCTAACTGGTAAGCCATTTCTTACAGCATAGATATGAACCAAATGAGGATGCACCAATGCCAGTCAAACTGTGGGGCTTTATGTTATACCAACGCATGCCAAAAAAAAAAAACAAAGCCTTAATGAAACATCAACCAAATCATAGAATATAAATGGCTTGACATGCTGGCAAACAAGCATAAGAGTTGGCCGTCCAGCTGCAGTAGTAGCTTTAATTTTATCAATTATGGGCTTTGAAAGCAGTACTAGTACCATTTATCTCCATAGCCATGACACAGTACAAGTAACTTACCATTCATCCACCACATAATCAATCCTGCTACTTCTTGAACTTTTAAGTCCATGTACTTCGAACTCTGGTGATTCCAGGTGATACCATCTGGCAACTGCATAATAAAAGAAAGCATTAATCAATGTGTAAAATTCAACGTGAAGTAACAAAGATCACGAATCCAAACAAAAAATACAAGAAAAAAGGGAGGCAATTCAACAAATATTTGAAATGTAGATGGTACCAGTTTTTTTGTTCAAGCCCCTCATGAGTAGTTTCATAATATTATGCTGAAGGAGCCCATTGTCATCTAAAATTGTGTCTCTTGAGTTACACTGATAATCCGTGGAGCTGGAACACCATCTTGATTGCTCAGGATGATCATGTGTTCGATCTTTACCATTGTCCCCGCCAATTCCTCCAGTTGATATATTCAAAGATTCACTGTTACAGTAACTATCATTCCTCATACTGCAGGTACTTCTGTTTTTCTTGAAACTAGCACGAGAATTCTTTCGACCAGAACACTCAGAAAGTACAACATTTTTAACAATCTCAGAGGTTGATGTGCCCTGATCATTCAAGCTAACATCATCAGGTACAGCTTTTTTTTGCAAGCTTGTCATAATTGAAAGCCGCTTTTTTCTTCTGTTTCTTTTCCTGATTTTATCTGCACTCAACAAAGAAAGAAACAGTTGCTTGCGGCCAAAATAGATTCCATTTAGTGAATGTTTTACATGTTTTTTTGGCTTTAGTCCTGTTTGGGATTTCATTACGTCAAGAACTTCCTTCTCAACAAAACCACTTGAACATCCCTTTAATACATTAGTCATTCCAGATTCCTCCAGTTTAAGGTAGCCCCCATTGCACTGTGTGTTAGTTGAGCACCTCTTGCTCTCATTACCAATCTGGATATGCAAACAAGAGGAAAAGTTTAGATTGTACACACAAGAATCAGGAATGAAGAAAGGGAAACCCACCTGATGTTCCACGGAAGTTTTATCATGTGATGCCATCTGCATGAATCCCAACTGGTTTAAAAGTTTGAGAGGATTTTTATCTGCAGGTACGTTACTTGTTCCTTTTTGGCTAAGTGCATCATTATTCTGATAAATTGCAATTGCAACATCATCATTCTACATGCCAAAACAAACCAAGGTCAACAAAGAGTAATATGTTCCCTGGAAAAGCACTTGCATCAGATCTGATAGATAATGCTGAAATTACCTCGTGCATATTGATTTGCTTGAGAATCTTCTCATGATGTTGCTGAGGAGAAGAGTCTGAGCAGGAAGCATTATTTGGCACAGAGAGGAGCACTTCTGACTTCACCTCTTCATTCCAATCATTAGAAAGAAGACATTTTCCACTGTTAGTTTGATCACTTTCAGAGGTGACAGTGGCATCATTTGCATGGGTAACCATAACAACAAAATCCTTGTCCCGTGCAGGTTCGATTGAATCTTCAATCAACCTCTGTTGAATAATCTGGGAAACAGGCATCATGAACTCTTTTGAAGATGCTGCATCCGCTGATTTTTTCCCTTGCTGCAATGCATTTGACATAATATCACTATTTGCTCGCAATAATGCAGCTTTTCTCCCTAGCAACTGGCTGTCACTCTGGGGAGCTACATTTTCATTTTGTATGTTGTTGTCATTTTCTCGCAAAAATGCTACTCCAGGTAACTGGGAATCCGATGAAGAACCTATTCCAGAATCAGGATGACAATCAGTAATAGGATAACTTTTAAGTATGGCAGAACTAGATTCCAAGGTGCTTAGTTTCCCATCCACCAAACAATTTAGAACTGCTCCCTTTATAACTAAGGCTGAGTGAGGAATTAATTTCTTCCCAGGAGGATTAGTAGAAACACAATCTTTTTGAATCATCTCTGATGATTTCTTTACTATAGAACTCCTATCACGGACATAAAATAGCATGTAGGCCTTCTGCTCTAGGACAGTCTTCTCACTAACCTGGTAAACCTGCAATCGTATTTTTGAAAGAATCAACATGAGAACCAACTAAAATAATACAAGCATGAACAAGCCAAACTTTCAGTTGCTCAGACAAAATCACAGTAAAAGCAATTCAGATGACTCATAATTAAGTCTTTTCTCTTTTCTGCTTAACACATATAACCTAAGGATATGATTTGGTTTTATCATAATATCTTCCAAGTTCCATTTTGAAGGAAGGGAATCTTTCCCCTTGCCCCCTTCTATTGGTGTCTTTGATCATATTGTATTGTGAGGTGCATTGGCACATGAGCAGAGCATGGTGTAATAGATATCCAAGAGAATTCCTACCAGGACCTGTGATCATAATAAATCCATTACACATTATTCATGCAACCCTAAAATATAAATTTTCAGCTTGTATATATTATTATTGATGATTTTATTAAGAAGTCAAGATTCAACGATTTACTGATAAAATATAATAACATAAACATAACATGATAACAAACAAAGCAAAACATAAACTAAACCTGGTTATCATCAAGAGAATGCCACATGCCACTAGAGGTACAAACATAACAATAATAATGACCAGATTCGGTACTCCAGCCAGCATGCACCAAAACTCCATAAAGGGTGTATTTCAAATCATCTTCCTGAAAAGATTGATGAGGCAAAGAATCAGATGTTTACATACATCAGAATGTTCAAGATGAAAGGCTGACTAATTTTAATGAATTTACACACATGTGGATCACTGATGAAAGGTTTTAAATCAAGAGTGAGATCAAAATCCACTTTTGTGTCAATCTTCTGTCCAGGAAACAAAGAATCAAAACGTTTAAGATGAATAGTGAGAACATAAGGGGCCTTGTGAATGGTGAGCTGTTTGAGGGCCCTAACTTTCTCTTTGCAGTTTTGACACTGGTACTGTCTTTCCCCTCCATCTAATTGTTCCACAGCAGTAAAATGTTTTAGTGCTTTCCATAAAGAATCAACCTTTGCTATTTCGAGACTCAAATCCAGGAAGGGATCAAATTTATTGGAAGAATAGGAACATTGCATGCACTTAACCTGCAATAGAGCATTCAAGATTCACTGACAGGTCTATATTCTGTAAAAATTGCAGGTACATAGACAGAAGGTTTATATGAGCAACCTGACTTCTCAGTCGGCCACCAAATATCTTGTGTACCAAACTTTTTTCATAAGCAGTAGGGGACTCACTAGGGACTCCAGATGGTAAACAGCATTTGTGCATGGACTCAAGCAAGCTAACCATGTACTCATGTGCATCTTCTTGTCTAGAATTACGAAAATTGCGAGATATGCCTGATCAGCTGGTTAAGGTTTGCAGCTTTAAGTTACAGTAGCACTACTTGTTAACTCACTACATACCCTTTCTAAATTTAAATTCATCATTTTCAGTGGCAGCAAAAAAATATTTGTTACAGGGCTGCAAGAAAGGTAAAATTATTTTGTGTACAAATAAGGATACAACGTAAGTTCTTGACAAGAGTAGAAGGTGACAATATCTTTCCAGTTGACTGTAGGGCAATCATGACGTGGTTCTGAATGGCACACATTGCACAAAATCCAGCTATCTGACCTACAAAGGCAAATTCAGAGCTGAAATCAATAAAAAATAAACAAAAATAGGAATTCGAATGTATACTAAATCTGGTCTGTGTAAACATATATATAGTGCAGATGAAAATATTAGTCAGGCTATTTTCTACAAACTGATATTCTTTTCCCTGAACTGATTAGACAAACAAGAAATTTTCCACAAAAATACAAGTTAATGATATTCATGCAAACATTAATGTTGGTGCTAAAAAATGAACGAAAAAAGGAAAGAGGATAGAGAAAAAAACTCACAAGAAATTTGA